GTGGATGATAAGAGTCTTGAATGACTGAATCCTTCGGAGACTTGCTCTCTGGTTAAGCTCTCTATATTGAGTCATGATGGGTTCTCATGTGGCCTAATGGCAATGGGATTGAGGTTATTTTGGTCAAGTTTCTCTTGTTGGGGCTCAGCTGGTTTTGACCTGGTGTGTGAGATGTTCAGATGCTCTTGTATGGATGAAGTAGAACCAAATGACATGTCTTCAGCTTTTTGAAGACTTCTGTTATCAAGTCTGAGGTAATTGGATGGCTATCATGTCATCCTGAGTATATCTGGAATAGTTTCTATCCTCTTATTTTGTAGTGTTCTTAAGTCTTATTTTGTATTGTGTCTTACGCTTAGTTCTGTACCTTCAGTAAATGTTGATCGAATGTATAAATGAGCACCTTTAGATGCACCAGAAAAATGCAAATAAAATTATAGCTGTTTGGAAATGGGACATGGGCAAATTGTCAGTGGCGGAACACTGTGACCTTCGCCTTAAATGTTTTCCTGTGGACAGAATTGTACTTTATTGCAGAAGCTGGTTTCTCAATACTTGTGTTTTTTCATCGGATTTTTTGAAACTGAACAAATCTTTTCCTTTAATTTAAGTTTTAGCACAGGATGTAATTGAAGTGTCACATCTAAGGTATGTATTACTAATTTATTTACTAAGGTATATTAGAAGAGTAATTTCAACTGCATAAGAATGAATCTTGATTTTTTAAAATTTTAAATGTTTTTTATATTTGAGAGAGAGAGAGAGAGACGGAGTGCAAGTAGGGGAGGGACAGAGAGAGAGAGACAGAATATGAAGCAGTCTCCAAGCTTTGAGCTGTCAGCAGAAAGTCCAACACAGGGCTCAAACTCACGAACCGTGAGATCGTGACCTGAGCCAAAGTTGGAACCTTAACCTACTGAGCACTCAGGTGCCCTGATTTTTCTTTATATAGTTAAAGAAAATTTTGAAAAGAAATTCCACTTGATTTTCTTCCTGTGTAGGACCTGTAGTATATTATATACTACATATAGTATGGTATAGAGTATTATGTAGCATCTTACACGTACATGTTGAGAAAGCTAGTAATTCTATTTCTAGATATATTTTTGGCCTCATATGTAGGCAAAACTTTATGCTTTGGGTTTATTTTGGTTTTGCTTTTATATGACTTTAGGTATGTTACAAGCTAATGGAATTCCCGTTACAGTTTGGATTACTTACTATTAATGTGAAGATTTTGTTTGCCTTTTCTTTAGGGAGGTATGTAATTCAGACTAGGAAATGATTCTCTATTATGAATATGAACATGACTGCAGTCTCATGTGGACAGTTTGTAATATCATGTTGTTACTGATCAGAAAAAAATATGTTTATAGATTGTAGGGGCTGGATTTTACTTCTGAGTCTGAGATATCAAATGTGACATTTATTTTTGTGGTCTAAAAGAAGTAGTTCCTTCTTACCCTTAATTGAGGGCTCTTTTTTTTTTTTTAATGTTTTTTATTTATTTCTAAGAGAGAGAGAGAGAGAGACAGCGTGAGCAGGGGAGGGTCAGAGAGAGAGGGAGTCACAGAATGAAACAGGCTCCAGGCTCTGAGCTGGCAGTCAGCACAGAGCCTGACGCGGGGCTCAAACCCACGAACCGCGAGATCATGACCCAAGCGAAAGTCGGATGCTTAACCGACTAAGCCACCCAGGCGCCCCGAGGGCTCTTTTTTATCTACCCTTTAAATAATGGCATTCCTTTGGTTCTCTTTTCTGATCCCTTTCTTTTTGTTTCCCATTTTCCTTCCTTAGATGAATAACATTGACCGAACTCTTATGTGTATCAGGACAGGGCCATGCTGTACAGCTGAGCAGGCTGTGCACTGCACAATTCCAGAAGGTGACATTCACTGCCCACAGACTGAGGTGGAGTCAACAGGCATTGTGCTAGCTACTTTACAAACCCCTCGTTTACCCTGGTAACAGCCTATGAGATGAATATCATCATTCCTCTTTTATAGATGAGAAAACTGAGTTTGGGGTATGTTAAAACTTGTTTAAGTTTACACAGTAATGAGCGGGCAATGGAGTTTGTATGGGTCCAAAGCCTTTGCTTCCCTATACAGCATCCTACCTTTTGTGGGTGATCTTGCTCTTGGAGAGCTCACCCATACCACTACCTAAATGATGGTAATTCCTAAAAGACTCCACCCCCAGACCTCTCTGTTGAAGGCCTATGAGACAAGTCTTCCAGTATGTCCCAGAGGCACCTCAGATGCTGAAGGATTCAAAATGAATCATCATTTTTCCATATGACTGCTCCTCCTCTATTCTTACTCTCAGTCCGTGGCACCAGTAGCCCGGGCTCCTCTCTCCTCCTCACCCCCTACATCCAGCCAGATAGCAGGCCCCATCACCTCTCTTTCCCAAATCTCCCTCCATTTGTCCCCTTCCTTTCTGTGCCAGACGTCATTCACGCCATCATTCTCTTATCCTGATTGCATCTGCTCTGACTTCTGACAAGCACCACCTAGCTCCTTGCCCTGGCTGTTGCCTCTGGCTTTTTCTCCTCCCTCCACCTTCCCCACTCAGCTGCTTGAAGACTCAGCATTGAGTCACTTTCTCAGGAAAGCCTTTCTTGATTATTTTCACCAACCCTTTCCTTCAGCTATACTGCTCTTTTCTGTGCTCCCATAAAACACCGTGTTTACCATTTCACTCATCATAGTACCCTAATCATTGTTTTTCTTGTCTGACTCCTTCCCTGGACTAAGCTCTTTGAGGACAGGGACCACATCCAATTTATCTTTGCCTTTCTAGCATCTAGCAGCTTGCCTGGGAGGAGATCAATAAATGCTCGAGAGAATGAAAGAATGCACACTATAGATGCATTTGGCAGATCTGAAAGAGTTTTGATCTTAGCTTTGTAATATTGCTTGAAGTCGGACACTGTGATGTGTCCAGCTTTGTCTTAAGACTGCTTTGGCTATTGGGGGTCTTTTGTGGTTCCACACAACTATTAGGATTGTAGGTTCTATTTCTATGAGATTAGCCATCAGAATTTTGAATAGGATTGCCCTGAATCTGTAGACTGCTTTGGGAAGGTTGGACATTCTAACAATATTTTTTCTTCCAGTCCATGAGCACAGAACATCTTTCCATTCTTTGTACCTTTAGTTTCTTTCATCAACCTCTTACATTTTCAGTGTACAGGGCTTTTGTCTCCTTGGTTAAATTTATTCCTAGGTATTTTATTGCAGAGCTGAAAGAGTTGTTCACAGAATACTATGGTGTTCTACATGTTTACTTAGTCAGATTAACATTTTAATGTGATTTTTATAAACCTGCATGGTGAAAATAATCGATGCAGATGTTATGTAATGATACATTTTTTTCCCCTTTCTCCCCGCCATTTGGCTCAGCAGGTAGCACGATTATTGCTTAACATATGTTTTCATGGCAGCGGCTTCTTGCTTTATCCTGTTGACAGAAGATTCTAACTTAATTGCATGGTAATTTAAAAATGGATTCTGTGTTGAACTTTGGTTTAAGGCGCCAAACTTTCATGCTGACACTTAATGAATAAACTAACCTCTCAGAAGGAGCTTTGTTTCTCTTTCCTGATTCTAGTCCATCAGCAGTGGTCACTACTCTAATACCTGGAGGTTGATTCTCTTAGAGCTAAGCTGCTGCTCCACTAAATTTGAGGTTAGACTCCACGGGGTGGTTATTCACAGGCACCTTTTCACCTAATGCAAATTCAGGTCTCATTCCAGCACTGCCCATATCTGGTTCCAGCCAACCAGCTAAATCTCCCTGGACATCGGGTTCTTGTCTTGAAAATTAGGCATTTGGACAAAAGTAGCCAGAACAACTTTTCAATCTCAAATGTCCCCTGATTCTATTACTTTGACGGTTCCTCCCCACCGTGTTCTCTTACTGTCTCATTTTCCTTGCCTGCCTTCCCTTCTGCTGCTGCCAGTGGACTGGTCCGGGCCTGTCCTGCCATCAGGCGCACGGATAGCTGTGTTCTTCAGCACTTGGATTTGACCTGCGGGTTCTCTTGAACATGGAGGGCTGAGAAGCGGTGTACTTGTGCTGTTCGGCACGGTGCTCACCGCTACGTGACTGGCACGCTCAGATCCCTTCCACAAAGGGCGTGCGGGTCCCTTCCTTTTAGGAAGCACATTCGGGACTGCCTTTGCAAAAGCACCGTGAAGTCGAGCAGCCCGTACAGAACGATTCCTGCATCAGAGCAGTGACATTTCTAAATCGCAACGGTTCAATAGATTTGGGACTATGATTGTGATGTGGGCTGGAGGAGGAGGGGTGGCATGGGGTGCAGGGATTGAATAGGTAAATCATCGTGTTTTAAACATCACACCCATGGAGCATCCAAGGTTTTGCAGTGAGGAAGGCGCACCACAGCGTTCCCTAGAGTTTCTGGATTTTTGTGTCACCTTTTCTTTAACGTAATGCAACCTGTTAGGTTACAGTGGGCTCCCACATAACTTTTCTGTAAAGCACTTCAAGCAAAACCACTGTCGTCATGGCGTGCCTCTATTTTTAGGAGGTGAACGAAGCCTGTCCTGATTCGGTTTGCCTGCGTTCTGACCCCCTCACCAGACCACCCCCCCCCCCCCCCGGCCAAATCAGGTGCAAGGTGTTTTTTGATGAGCCGCGCACGGGGAAGCGTCCCCATACAAAACGGCCCTCGGCCGAGTTGGGAAGGCGGGTCGCGGTTCCCAGCAGCAGCAGAAGGCGGGATCAAGAGCTCGGATGGTTAGGGGGGGCCAAGGTGTCCCGTCCCGGCAGGAGGGGTGCGGAGAAACCACACGCCCTGGAGGCCGCGAGGGGAAGCGTCCGGGTCTGGGCAGGATGAAGGACGCCGAGGGTGCGGCCACACCCGCCGGCCGGGCAGGGCGCGCGGCGGAGGCCCGGGGCGGCGGGGCGAGCGCGGGAGGGCCTGGGGTGGGGGCCGGGCCCGCGCGGGGTTAAAAGCGCATCACCTGCAGCCCCAGCGCGACCCAGATGGGAAGTAGGAAGTGCGGCGCCTGAGCTTCCTGTATAAATACACGCGCGGCTGCCGGCGCCGCCGCTGGCGAGCTGCGCCCCGGCTCCGCGCGGCCCGGGGCGCCGGGCGGGGGGGGCAGCGCGCGCGCCTGGCGGGTCCCCTCCCCCTGCCCCTCCCCCCTCCGGTCCCGCGGCCGCCCCGCGGGGTGCGGAGCTGGAGCGCGGACGGCCGCGCCGGGAACGATCTGGCTCCGCCTCCCCGGGGCGCGCGGGCCAGGCTGCTGCGAAGCCCCGGCGGCGCCCGGGGGCCCGAGCCCTCCCGCCAGGTAGGTGTCGCCAAGCGCCGGGGCGGCCGCGGGCGGGTCGGGTCGGGGCGGGGGCGCGCGGCGAGGCAGGCGTGGAGCGGGACTCCATGGTCTCGAGCTTTCTGTTCCGCCTCCTCTGCCTGCGCCGCGTGGGCTTCATCCCGAATGCCTGAGCCACCTGTTAACTTTTCAGAATAGACGCTGTACCCCCGGGTAAAGGTAGAAGGGAAACTCGTTCCGTCTCCAAACGGCCGCTGCGAAATGCGCCGATTGGCAAAGTCAAGGTTAGGGCAGACCTCCCCGGGTCTTTCCTAAGGGGAGACCGGGAGTTGGCATCGGCTCCGGTGTTTACCTTGCGCAGCACTGCGCTGACCTGCACAGATGGCGCTGAGATGGGGTCTTGGCCGTTCGCTGTCGTGACTGTTTGGTCAAGCGGTTGCTGATAAGACAGAGCGAGACCCTGATCCCATATTGCGGTTCTCAAGTTTTCAGTTAAAATGAAAGGGATTCCTGTTCCAGAAGAGAGGAGGAAGGGATCTTGGGTTTTCTCCTCTCGGGGCACCTTTTGGTTTTCTTACGAGTTTGGGGGGTTCCGCAGGGAGCCTGCTCCTTGATGCTTACACTTCTTACGTTCAGACTTCTCAGAAATGCATTTCCCTGTCTGGGAAAACGTCCTCTGTCTTCATGCTTTCACTGGGGTGGGTCACTTTCTTCTTTCTTTCTGCTGCAGTATCTGATTAGACGTTAGCTGGGGGTCCCCATAGGATTATCCGTGTTCTTCTAAGGCAGCGTTTCCGGATGTTAGTTTGAACTCTGCAAGGGCTGAATTAAAGAACAATGTATCTCACATTTATGAAGCAGCAGATTGGGGGGGGGGGTAGGCCCAGAAGCAAAATAAATGAACTTTGAGATGACTCAGTTTTTAGGGTGTGGGTTAGAGGCAAAAGGAACCCAGCCAGCCTTCACGGAGTTGCTGGCTAATTAAAGTATCTGGCTGCTGCAGGGTGCATGGCGGTGAGCCTCCTGGTCCCTGGTCCCTTTCAGATCGCACGGCTTTGTTGACCCCTCCTTCGTCTGACCCTGTCCTCTCTTCCCCACCCTAGTCCTTTTCATAAGTAGCAGCCCCTTAAATATTTCTGAAACTATCTTGAGGAAGGGGGGGGGGCGGGCAAGAAAGACTGATGTAGGAGATCCGCGGGCCACATTGGGGTACGTGTATTAAATCCAGGGCCACGTTTTCACACCCCTCCTGTATTACCCTGGCACACCTGTGACTGATCTCTTTTTCCCTTGTGGTGGGCACACACTTGGAGAAATAGGAAAGAGAAAGCCCCTTCTGTTTCTAAAGTAGCCTCTGACGCATTGAAACTGCCTTCATGAGTAAATAGATACAAGGCTAACGTGTATATGGAGAGTGGAAGTATAAAAAAAGATGTCGAGTCACCAGCATCAGGCTGCTTGACTTTTTATTTAAAACAAACAGGAGAAAACATAACCCCAGAAACCCCCAAACCAATCACCCTAGATAACTTGCTCCTACACTACTGTGCTGGAAGTGAGGTGTGAGTGTGGTCAAGCACTGTCCATTTACCCAGAGTTTTACAAATATTTATAGTCGTCTATGCCAAATATCTTTGCACTGAGCCCCACAGAACATTCTCAGCATTCAAAAGCTCCCTTCTCATGAATGGCTTTAGTTCATTGGCAATTTAAAGGCATCCAGGCTTTCAAAGTAGGTCAGTTTAAGACTCGTCTTTTTTTTTTTTTTTTTAAATAATTAGTTTTTGGGTCTCCCAGACTGTGAACCAGGTTTTCTGAGCCAAACCTGACAGCAGAGAGAAAAGTTATGCTTTATCTAGGAAGACAAAAAAGGCGTATTTTATCTATATAATAAGACCATTTAGCTTCCTGAAAACTATCATTCTCTTCAACAAGATGGGTACTTTTAATCTGAGAAAGTATACTTAAACTTGTGATTTTGAGAAGCAGGTTGAATATGTTAGATATTTAGAAACATTATAAGGCCATCAGAATCATTACTCTGTGGCATTTCTGCTAATTCTGGCTCTTGTGTTTCCCCTGGCCTTGACTTAGGACATTACTTTCTTGTTGAGTGAGGTTCTTTGTGTTTGAAATCGCCAGTTTGAGGTAGAGGTCAGGAATCATGCTGAACCCAGATTTTGGTGAAGGAACAAAGTCCAGACAGTTTTGGGACTAAACCTACTTTGTGCAACTGATTATTTTGGATATGGAAAGGAGCCCAAATGCCACACAAATCATACTTTCCGCTTTGAGCTTTGGGGAATAGGTATCTGCAGTCATTAGTCCTGAGCCCTGAGACTTTGTTTCCCAGGTACACCCGCCTTAATTTGTAGAAACTCTTAGCTATAGGAAGCTATCAGTATTTTTAGCCTTTGAATTGCTGGAAGTAAACCCACACGAGAGCCAGGTCTTTAATATTTTCTCTCCTCCGTGTGCATTTAAAGAAGTTATCAATTGTGGTTCCTAGTGACTACTTTCTGTTGCAAGGTGTGTGCTGGATGCTGGAGATAGAAATATGGGTAAGGTGTGGCTTTTGTCCTGACAGAATTAGTGGAAACCTGGAAGTGGCTTTGGTCTAGAGTGGCAATTCTTTTTTTTTTTTAATGTTTGTTTATTTATTTATTTGAGAGAGAGAGAGAACACGAACATGCACACACAAATGGGGGGAGGGGCAGAGAAGGAAAGAGAATCCTAAGCAGGCTCATGCTGTTGGTGCAGAGCCCAACATGGGGCTCCAACTCCCTAACTGTGAGATCATGACCTAGAGCTGAAACCAAGAGTCAGACTCTTAACCACCTGAGCCACCCAGGTGCCCCTGAGAGTGGCAGGTCTTCTTAATTTATATTGTTTTACCTGAGTATGTTAGATGTTTATTATCTTCACTTCTTTTTTCTTGTAATGTTTCCCATATGTCATCTGAGTGTTAAGTAACTTGAGGAGGCACCGCAGCACCAAAGTTAATTCACCTTTAGGTACAGGTGGGAGTCTTGCACTAATGTTCTATTTTTATTAACTTTGGCATTTGCTTTTGCTGGGTCGATGCGCGTGTCTAAACCCAGCACGTCACATTTCAGTGGTTATTCAGACATGGGAGACTATACATTAAAGACTGTAAAAGCAGCAAACGTGTCTGCAACTCAGAATGAGAAACTTCTCATTTATGACAAGACCTCCTTCCTTGAACTGAAAACACAATGACCGAAGTGAAAAATACCTCTCTTATTCACAGCTGGAGATACTGCTGATCACATGGCTTTTGTAGCATCTGTTACAGAGCATATTTTAAAAGCCATGTCGCATTGGCTCTCATCTCTGCAGTCATGAGTTTGAGGCCCAGACCTTTACTCAACTGGTTCTTTGTCTTTGGGGGAAGGGAGAAGAAGACATCTCTCATTTGTGTCTCTGCTGGACTTGTGACCAAAGCTTCACAGAAACCCACAAACTGTCCTGTGTATTATCACAGAAAACTATCTGTTGACCTTCTCAACCAGTTGACTCCTTGTGAGTGGAGACTGGGTTTAATCACCTTTACATCCCTAGCGCCTAACGTGTGGAATTTAGTTCTTTGTGGGGTTGACTTTGTTTCCTGCATTACTGGGTTTTGGAGAAAAGAGTTTGGCAAAGGTGTATACTTGCTTAGTGTGGGATGGAAGAGAGTCCTCTCCCAAGCTCGTTTTAAAATTCATTTCTAATTAAAATTTCTTATAGGAAACTTTTGACTTTCACCAGAGAAGATAACGCAGATACGTGTTTCTATTCATTCGGAGCAAACATTTTGATTTAGACATTCATGCCTTAGCAACTGTAGTTTCCTGCTAATGTCATGACCCAAGAAATCAGCCCATCTCCTGCTCTGTGGGGCTTTCTGAAATAACATTTCGCCTTGCTCTGTTCATTACATCATTGTCTGACCTGCCTTTAAGTGGCGTTCCTTCCTGCCTCTGAGCTTTGTTGTTATGACAGGCAGAGGGAAGACAAATTATTCAGCAGGGCTGCATGAATAATCGTGAGACGCAAGGGAAGCAGTGATTAAAAAACGGGGCGAGCAGGGCACTCTGGCGACGCTGAGTTGGGAGCTCCCATGAAGAATGTAAAATCACAATGCCAAAAATATCATGGAGCTGTTCTGCTCCTATTCACTCCTGCCTTCTCTGATAAGTTTTAATTGTTAGAAAAGCTAAGGATGGATTTTCTCCTCGTGGGCCTTTCCCTGTAGCGGTAATGAGAACATGGAAACAGGGTGAGAAAAAAATGAATGTACTTTTTAGGAAAAGGATCAGCATTTTGCAGATGTTAAAATTTGCCGTCCCAGATGCCCACGCCCTGTAGGATTTAGAGTCAGGTTATCGCAGAGTCATCTGCTCCCTTGGCCGTTGTCTCCATAAATCTTTCCATATATTTCTCCTGTATAGTTTGTAGGAAGAACATTAAAAGCAGATACTATTCTCCCCATAAAAAAAATTGTAAGTGTATGAGGTGATGGATGTGTTAACTAACCTTATTGTAATGTTTTCAAAACTTGTGTGGACTTCTATGTGTCCGTACACACACCTATGTCTAATCATTACACTGTATGTCTTAAACTTATACAGTGTTATTTATCAATTCTATCTCAATCAAGCTGGAAAAAAATTACATCTTATTACTAGCTGTAACAGATTTTATGCATATCTTAATCTCAAATAGCAAAGAGACTGTTTAGAAAATAGTATTTGCTGATAATTAAGATGCTCTTCCTAGGCGCCTGGGTGCCTCAGTCTGTTAAGCTTTCAACTCTTGGTTTCAGCTCATCATGATTTCATGGTTCATGAGTTCGAGCCCCGCCTCAGGCTCTGCACTGACAGCATGGAGCCTGCTTGGGATTCTCTCTCTCTCCCTCTCTCGTTGACCCTCCCCCCTCAAAAGAAATAAAGAAACATCAAAAAGAAAAAAAAAATATTCCTCTCAATGGAGTGTCTGTCTTTTTCACCTGCATACAA